ATTTACCTAGATTAAATGTCAATAATTACAGAATATTATTTTCTTTTTCTCCTTCCTTATTATTGTGATTATTGTTGTTATATTATTTGCTCTCATTAATACAGAGGGAATGTCTTTGTGCATAAGACATTTATTTACTTTACTCCTATTTTTTCTTTTCCATAAGATAGATTCATAGAGGCAGGAAAATGCTCATTTGCTTTTCACAAAGGATATAGTGATTTTTGTTCTCTAGCCATATATGAGAGTTCCCAGTTCAATGTACTCTTGCCAGCTCTGGCTGTCATAACTTTTTATCAACTTTACTGGAGTATAATTTATGTAAAATAAACTGTGTCCGTGTAAAGTAAGTAATTGGATGAGTTTTGACGGTTGTGAAAGCACCACCAGAAACAGAACATTTTGGGGCAACTACCAGTCTGCTTTCTGTCACTAGTTTTACCTTTTCTGAGGCGTCACATAAACATGGCCTCTTTCACGTGTAGCTTTTTCTATGCCTGACTTCTTTCACTCAGCATGATGATTTTGAGATTTATCCTTAGTGCAGTGTGGATCAGTAGTTTGTTCTTTTTGCCAGTAACACTGAGTGGCTACATCGTGTTTCACGTGTACCTTCTCCTGGTTTCCAGTTTGGGTTTACTGGGAACAAAGTGCCTGTGAACACTTGTATACCAGTGTCTGTGCCAGACACATGCTTCATTTCTCTTGGGCAAGTACCTGGGAATGGCTGAATCACTGGTAAATATGTGTTTAACTTTGTCGAATCTGCCAGTTTTCCTAAGTGGTATTTTTTTTTTTTTCTTTTTGCACTCTTCTTTTTTTTAAAATTATTTATTCATTTATTTATTGTTTTTGGCTGCGTTGTGTCTTCGTTGCTGCGTGCAGGCTTTCTCTCGTAGCAGCGAGCGGGGGCTACTCTTCCTTGTGGTGTGTGGGCTTCTCATTGCGGTGGCTTTCTTGTTGCAGAGCACAGGCTCTAGGCACGTGGGCTTCAATAGTTGTGAGACGCGGGCTCAGTAGTTGTGGCGCGTGGGCTTAGCCGCTCTGCAGCATGTGGGATCTTCCCGGACCAGGGCTCAAACCCGTGTTCCCTGCATTGGCAGGTGGATTCTTAACCACTGTGCCACCGGGGAAGCCCCGTGAATTCTTTATTACATGGACATTAGTTATTTATTGTGAATTTCCCTCCCCTGGTTTTCATGTTCCTTTTGATTTCAGCCGTGCTTCTCTTGGGCATAAGGGGAATTTTGAGTGCTCGGGGTCGGGGGCAGCTCTTGACCTTTGCGATTTCTCTTCTGGCTTTAAACTGGGTGTCCTGGGTGTGGCCGTGGTCTGCATGTCTGTTCCGCCAGCGTCTCTGGGTGTGGTGCCCACGGCTGGTCCTGGCGATGGTTCTAGCAGGCCTCTGCCCACCTCATGGGTGAGAGAGGCAGGTGCGTGGGGTCTCCGTGAGAGAGCAGAGTTTCCTCCTCTGAGTTTGTCCTTGGTGCTGGAGTAGTCATGCTAATGCTAACCGTGGACCGTGTGGTGTCCACAGCTGACAGCGAACGTCTAGCCCCCCTGTTCCTTTCGGAGCGTGTTGGCGTTGGGTCTCCCAACCCGCACCTGCCGGGCGCTCAGGGGCTGCAGGTGCTCAGAAAGGCAGGGTCGGGGTGGGCCCTGTCTGTACGCCCAGGGGTCTTCTTAGCACACGTGACAGGCCCACCTGCCTGTGGAGGCATTGCTTTGAGCCCTGGGCGAGCTAAGTGAGGGAGCTGCAGCCCTTGTGTCGTGTGGTGTTTGGGGCGTCTTCGGAAGATCTTTCTAAGCCAGGGCCCTTGCGACTGAAATAAAGTGGGAAGTCCACGACCTGTGTCCTGCGTGCGGCACCCAGGCCTCAGGTGGACAGTGGCTGGGCCACGTCCCTGCTGTGGTCACCTGGGCAAGTCACCCACCTCACTGAACCTGCTTCCTGTTAACTTGGGACAACCCATTTATTCACACAGCATTTATTGAGTGCCTGCTGTGTGCCTGGCTCTGCTCTGGGCACTGAAATCTGATGGTCATCCACACAAGTCCCTCCTCCTGAGCTGCTTTCATGCAGTGGGGGACAGACAGCAAACCAATATGAAACACCAGTGGTGATGATGGCAGTGAAACAAGGTGCTGTGACAGGGAAGCCCCTCGGGCCACATTTAATGTGGTGTCCAGAGAGGCTCTTTGAAGAGGTGAGAGTCGGCTAAGCTGCAGCTGGAATGACAGGAAGGAGACGCCTGTGCAAAGGCACTGGGGCAGAGAATCGGAGGGGGAGGAGGCCAGCAGGGCTGGTGAGCAGCGTGGGGAGGGGCTGTCATGGAGAGCTTTCGCAGAACTTTGGCTTTTATTCCGAATTCCCTGGGAAGGTTCTAAGGGGGGGCAGGGAACGATCTTTAAATAAAGATCCTGTGGCTGTGGTGTGGAGGGCAGACTGTCAGATGGGAGTGGAAGGGGCAACCAGTGCATTCTAGGGGTGATGGCACCAGCCCGGGTGGGGGGCTGGCAGTGAGGGGGACTTTCTGATGGCCACGTGGGCTGGAAGCGTACGGGGGGTGGGCTGGTCCCCTCTGAGAGGTTGTTTGGGAGTGGCCCATCGTGGGGGGGGCCGGCAGCTGGCCCGGGGTGACCTGTGTGAGCTGAGCCTTCGTGTTAGGAGGAAATACTGGCAGGCAGTCTGCTTCAGACTCTCGGGACCTGCAGACTCCCTCACTAACCGGGCCGGATGAGCTGTGGAGAAAGTGATTTTTCAGCATTTAAAGCAGGGACGTGGGACCCCTCGTGTGGCCCCCGCTGGGCCAGGCCTGGTGGCACGTGGTATCCTAGAGAATACAGTGGCATGTACTTTGTGCCACCTCCAGCACTCCGCTCCCGCATGCAAACCCTGCATCCTCCCCCAACCCCAGAACCCCTCCCTCATCGCGCTCCCGGGGTTGCCAGCTGCCTGCTAAGCGCTTTGCATTCATTATCTGGGTCCAGCATTTTCCAAGAATGTCAACACGGGGGTCTGACAGGTCTGAGGACTTGGTGGTTTCTAACTCTGTGATCTTGGCCTCCTTTTTAACCTCTTGAGAGTCAGCTGCGTCTGTGAAACGGGGCAGTAGTCATAACAGAATGCAGGCAGAGTCTAGTGAGATGATCTGCATAGCTCTACCTGGCGCTCACTCAACATGGCAACTGTGTAACAAATCGTAGCCGTCTGGGTGCCCGAGGTACCACCGGGCTCCTTCTGCTTGCAGAATAAAAGGAGATGCCGCCCGAGGGGGGCAGCGCTTGACCCTGAGCGGCGCTGACGGTGAACTTGCACCTCACTGTGGCAGGTGGTGGGGGTTGGAGACCTGACCCACTGCTTGTCACTTCTGTATCCCCCGCGGGACCGGGAAGCAGTCGGCATGGGCAGTCTTTGAGCATTTCGCCTGATAGGCCTTCTGCTGGGCTTTGGGCTGAGGGAGCTGAGAGTAAACAGAGTCACGGGAGAGTTCCTGTTTTGTTTGGAATAACACGGCCCCTTTGCTTAATTTTGTAGGGATCTGTAGGGGCATGGACCGGGCGTTGCCTGTCGTAAAGGTGTGGCAGGAATGTCCGGGCGGTGATGCAGAATGATGCGGACAGCGGTGACATTCCACCTGGTGCCTGCCAGCTTGGGGATGCGGCTGTCAGTCCTGCGGCCTCTTCCAGCCTTTGCCGCCAAGGCTGACGGGTGGCCTTTGTCTTAATCAGGCTCGCTGACCTGGACGCCTGACTGATGAGGCCCCTTCTGTTTCCCTCGCATGGGAGCCAGGCAGGCTGTGGGAGTGGGTGGGCTGCAGACTGCCCGTGGCAGCCCTGCAGAGGGCAGAGGGCAGGAGCTGGTGTGGAGCCTGGGTCTCTGGTCAGGGTGACGTAAGCAAAGGCTGGGGTTTTCTGCCTGCGGCTCAGTCTTCCAGAGCCTGATGGCTGACTCCCCGGAGGAGGGGGCATGGGCTGCAAGTCAGGGGGCCTGGCCAGTCCCTGTACCGCCTGTGAGGACAAGGGAGAGCCCCGCATCAGCGGCCCCCAGGTTCCCGCCTCCAAGGTTGGGTTAGGTCAGGTCCCTCCAGCACCCAAGTGCAAGGGCTCAGTCACGGTGGTAAAGTAGTTTCTGGAGAAGAGAAAGAAACCAGGAGCAATTTAATATCTTGGGTTTCTAAGAAACAGCTCTGCAGCATATCTTGGAATTTTGTCGGATCTGTCTAGACACCCGCCTTTGTGGGTCCCACTCTGTGCCAGGCGCGGGCTCTCCACGCCCATGGTCTCAGTCTGTGTTGACCCCCAGAAACCTGTGGGTCAGAGAGGCTGCGATGCTTGCCCGCTGTCACGTGGCAAGTGCAGAGCTGGAGTGGAAACTCAGTCCTTCCTACCAGAGCCTGTGGGCTTTTTCTCCTTGTGTGGGAAAAAGTACCATAAAGATTTATCATAAAGAAATCCTGTTTGTAATAAAAAGAAGAGTCAGTCAGTCTGGCATGCCGAAAGGCTCCGTGGCGCCAGGGTGAGGGTAGGGTGGATGTCCTCCCTGCTTCCTGCCTGCAGCTGAGAGTGGTTGGCAAAGGGGCAGCTGTTCCTTTAAGTCGGATTCTCCGTGGGAGCTGCTGCAGCCTGGGGTGGGGATGGGGGGAGGGAGGTGCCTGCCTGACAGATCTCCCCTCCTAAGCCCTTCCGGCTCCCAGCCAGACAGCCTGCCCATGACGTTCCCTCTGATTCCGTCTTTCCTTCCCCACTGAAGCTGCTGATTCATCCACAGGCTGGAGTCCACTTGTGCCTTGGGGGGGGTCTCGTGGCCTTGAGCCTCTTTGGGTGCCCCATGGTGGGGTGTGAGGGAAAAGGGGGCTCTGAACATCACAGAGTCCTGGCCGCTTTCTGACCAGAAACGCAGGTCGGGGGCGGGGTGGGGGACAGGGCCCGGGCCCGGCCACGGGGCTGGGGCCAGGTTGACCCATCCTTCCTCACTCCTCTCTGGCCTCCCTGTGCAGGGTGCTTCAAGGATGACCGCATCGTCTTCTGGACTTGGATGTTCTCTACCTACTTCATGGAGAAGTGGGCCCCGCGGCAGGACGACATGCTCTTCTATGTGCGCCGGAAGCTGGCGTACGTGGGCAGCGAGGGCGCCGTCGACGGGCGGAAGGTGAGTGGCCCCTCGGGGCCCAGCCAAGCCTCCCTGGAGGTCTGCTCTTGGTGTGAGAGAGGGGCTTCCCTGCAGTCCTTGTGCGAGTCGAGAGGGGAACATGGTGTTCATTTAGCACCTGCCAGGCTTCAGGAACTGTGCGGGGATGGCCACATACGTGTCCGATGGCGGGATGCGCTGGGCTTGTGTAGATAGACATCATTATTCATCTTCACCGTGACCCTTGGAGGAAACACGGACAGAGGCTGGGTGATTTGGCCAGCATCTCATAATTAGTAAATAAATGGGGGAGCAAAGATTTTGACCCCAGCATGTGGGGTCCTCCCTGGCCGCGGGCAGTTGAGCCGGCTTGGTGATAATGCTGGTGCCTACCAGTCCCTGAGCCCTCACCACGCACCCGACACGGTGCTGAGCTCTCTGCCTCCCGATCTCGTTGTGTCTTCCCAGCGACTCAGCAGGGCAGGGGTTATTGTCCCCGCTTCACAGAAGAGGAAGCCGAGGGCTCACAGGTGGAATGAGTCGTCTCAGGTGTTTCATCCGCTAAGTTTGTGTAGAGCAGTTGATCGAACAGACTTTGCATGTTTTTCAGAAGCTTTATTTAGTATTTTGTAAAATGTTTAAGCAACCTGTATGCCACACATGGAAACACATTGCTTCCCTTTAAATACATGGAAACGGGAGGGCTGTGGAGGCAGGTCTTTACAGTGTGCCCACTGCAGGGCCTGCAGCCCCGGGCCGGGGCTCGTTACCTGGGGCTTGTGCCTCCCTCTGCCGTGTGCCTGCTCTTTGAGCCTGATGCGTGATGGGTTTTCTGCAGATGGACAGGCCTGGTGCCCGCTGCAAAGGAGGCACGGTGGCTTGCAATGCTGGCGGCCGTATGGCTGGTCTGGCCGGGCTGCGTGTCATGCAGGAAGGCCCAGGGGTGGGCCAGGGTCCTCTGGTGTCCATCTGGTGTCTGCAGCAGCTCGCTGTGTGGCCACGTTGTCACTGGGGCCAGTGGGCACTGGGACCCTGAAGTGCATCGCGTGGCGCTAACACAGTGTGGCAACTGTAGTGACCAGAAGGGAGGGGAGTGGTCAGCAGAGGCCACCTGGGTGAGGTGAGTCTTGAAGGGAAGGAAAAGGTGCTCCGCAGCAGAGGGGCCGATGGCCAAGCTGTGGGCCTGAGCACGTAGCAGCCCCGTGCGTGCAGGTGGTTGCCGGTGGTCTGTGTGGCTGGGTGTAGAAAGGTGGAACCTGGCACGTCAGGTGGGCGGGGCCAGATCACGTGGGCACCGAGGGTCATGCCCAGGAATTTGGGTTTTATCCCCAGAGCCCTGGGAAACCACTGAGCCTGATAAACCGAGGAAGGGGACATGGTCAGAGTTCCGTGTGGCAGGCTCTCGGGCATAGGTGGGGGAAGGGCGAGCCGGGCGGAGGGAGGGGTGTGGGGCAGGGGTCAGCTCCGAGGAAGGCCCAGGAAGTGGGTTTAACTAGCAGGGCTTCAGGTGACTGAATGTGGGGCGGAGGAAAGACTCGGCCTGGCAGCCAGGTCTCTGGCTTCGGCCCAGGGTGCATCTGGAGGGGACACAGGAGGAGGGCAGGGGTTGGACGGGTTGAGTCGCAGGTGCCCGTGGGACATCCAGATGGCAGTGTCTTCCAGGCAGTGGGTTTCCTGTCTGAAACTGAGCAGAGAGGTCAGGGAGGAGCTACAGATTTGGGACCATGGGCACCAAGATGGCATGGGAAGAGGAGGGAGCCTCGGGGGAGTAACAAAGAGGCCTAGGACAGAGCCCTGGGCCAGCCTGACATGGGAGGGACCAGCTGGAGACCTTGAGCGACTGGCTGGAGAGGTGGAGGGCTCCAGAAGTGGGCGGGCGTGGGGATGCAGGACGAGACGGGGACGGGCCATTGGATCTGGTGACCAGAGGCTGTGGCACAGGCCTCGCCTGCACGGCCTTGGTGCTGGGTGGGACCCGAGCCACACTCAGTGTGGGCAGGGGGAGCCCTGGGAGGGATGGAGGGGTGGAATTTGGGGGCAGGTATGGGTGGAGAGGTCCTGAGCTGAGCGCCTTCGGGAGCCTGGCCCAAGGTCCCCGGTCACCACACCCGCCCTTCTGGTCCAGCATCATCTCCCCCGACTGGCCTTGTAACCTAGTCCAGCCAGCCCCTCTCTAGGGCTCAGCCTCTCCTGGAAAAGGGGGCCGGGTTAAGGCCGTCCCATCGCACACACCTGGGGGCCAGAGGTTTGGGCGATGTGACCACACGAGTCCCCTGGCAGAGGGTGGTGAGAGTCTTGGGAGCCTCGGAGCCGGCGACTCCCGTGATGGGCACGCTCTCCTCTGTCCTCGGCACAGCTCCGGGGGTGCAGGCACTGCTCCCTCCACGGTTCGCCAGCGAGGAGACTGGAGCCAGGGAGCATCCGCCTGAGGGCAAACAGCCGGGAGGCAGCAGGGCTGTGGGCTCCGACTTCTGTCCGCCACCTCTCCGGCCTGTTGGCATCTGCTGGGGTTCGGAATGCAGATGATGGGTTTTTTTGTGTTTTTTTTGTTTGTTTTTTTTTTTTGCAGAATCTTGGTGTTTTCTCAAAGGCAGGGAGACCAGAGGCTCCAGTAAGGACTGGGCACATCTCAGTCTGTGCCTTGGATTTCGGTGCCTGGAGAGGCCCCGGCTCTAGTCAGGGAGGGTTTTCTTAGCCTGACTTGGCCTTGAATTCTCCAGGCGGGCAGGCGGGAACAGGGAGAGGTCAGGTCTGCGTGTTCCCAGAGTGGCCGGGCAGGGAGGCGAAAGGAATGGGCAGACGATGGTCTCTTTCTCGCGGGGAAAGAACCCTGGACTCAGGACTGAGGAGTTTGAAGCAGGAGGCCCGGGGCCACGTGCGAGCTCTCCTGAAGGTTGGGGGGTGTTGAGGTCGGGGTGGGTAGCCTGAGTCCATGGGAGCCTGTGGCAGTCTAGCTGTTCACGTACTGGAATGTTCCATCGAACACCTGCCGTGAGCTCTGTACAGATGCCTCTCTCCCAGCACTGGGAGCACAAAATGACTCAGACTTGGCCCGGTCCTCGGGGAGCCCGCAGTCTGTTGGGACGGACAGATAGTGTGGCCAGTGGCACGTGGAGCTGTCGGTGCTGTGATGGTGGGAAGAGTGCGGGTGTCTGGGGACCCACAAAGAGGAGGAGGTGACATCTGGCCCGAATGTTGTAGGACAGAGAGAGGGGACGGCAGTGGACTGAGGACATTCGTGTGGAGGGACCGGCACACGCAGAGCGGGAGGGGCGTGTCAGGCACACATACGACGGCGCCCTGCTGGGCTGGGCCGTGTCACATCTGCCGGTAGTGTTTGGAAGGCAGCCGGCGGGCAGCGATGTGGGGAGGTCCCGCAGGCCTTGGGGTGCGAGGTGGGCGGGGGGGGGGGGGGGGGAGACCACACAGCCGCTCCCAGGCAGCTTCTCTGCCCGCACTGCTCAAAAGAACAGAAAGGCAAGCCCCTGGCAGGCGTGCTGCGGGCCCTACTGCAGCGCCTGCGCGCTGCGGGTTCTCTGCGGCAAGCCCGGGCTGCCTCCGGCCCCCTCCTCGCCCTGCAGCCTAGCGGTACCCGGTCACCATAGCAACCCCAGGCCTGCCTGCACTAGGCCAGTGGTGGAGGGTGGATGGGTGGACGGGCCGCCTGTGGGCGAGGTGAGGAGAGCAGCGTGCGCGGCACGGGATGCTGGGACCCGCCTACCCACTGCAGGGCCTGAGGGGCAGCCTTGGAGGCTGAGTTCTCGGTGAACTCTGGGTCGCGTAGCTAGGGTGCAGTGGTGAGGGAGAAGGCGCCCCCGAGGGGCTGGGACTCACTTCTGCCATGGGCCCCGCAGCTGCCTGAGGCCGAGCCCGAGGTGGAGGTGGAGGTGTACCGGCGGGACTCCAAGAAGCTGCCGGGCCTCGGAGACCCTGACATCGACTGGGAGGAAAGCGTCTGCCTGAACCTCATCCTGCAGGAGGTACAGGGGTGCCGTGGGGCAGGGCTCCAGGAGGGCGGCTGCCGGAAGGCCCCGAGGGACAGCAGAGCCCTCCACAGCCCCGCCCTGCGCTCTCTTCCAGCTGGACTACATGGTGACGTGTGCTGTGTGCACACGAGCTGATGGCGGGGACATCCACGTGCATAAGAAGAAATCCCAGGTGAGCCCTCTGGCCGCCCCATGTTTACTTGGGAGGCAAGTCCTCCTGCTGCCTTCCGTGCCCCGAGGTGAGCATCTGGCTCCAGAAGTCCATTCAGCCCCCGGGGGCCTATGTCCTGCTCGGGAGCGCTAAACCAGTCATCCCAGACGGCTTCCTCCCGAGTGGCAACCTTGAGCGTGGCCTGGCTCTGGGCGGTGTGACCGCGGTGACCTGTGCCTTGGGCAGCACACTCCAGCCCACTGAGTGGCTCCTGGTCTGGGTGCAGGGCCGGGGCCACACTCAGTCCCTTCGCATCTCCTTTCTTTCAGCAAGTGTTCGCATCCCCCAGTAAACATCCCATGGACAGCAAAGGGGAAGAATCCAAGATCAGCTACCCCAACATCTTCTTCATGATCGACAGCTTCGAGGAGGTGGGCTCTGTCTCCCTCTAGTTCCCCCTCATCAGGGAATACGAGGGAATACGAGACGCTTTTCCCTCAGGCCTCACACGCCTTCAGAAAGGCGGTGGGCACTGGGCTGGGGTCGCGCTCTTCCTGCTGTTTGACTCGGGGCAAGTGAGTTCACCTGGCTCAGAGCTTCGGTTTTCTCATCTGTAAAATGGGCATCAGAGTTGAAAGATCAAAGAGCTCGTGAATGATGGGAAAATGCACCGTAAACGCCTACAGAGAGTGCTTCCCAGGCAGGAGGAATCATTGTTACGGCCCTTAACTCTGAATCAGGACCTCCACACCTTGGGATCCTAGGACGTCCAAGATGGCTGGGGCTCTAGAAGTCATGTGGACCAAGCGTCTATTTTAAGGTTGGGAAAACTGGGGCCCAAGGCAGGTGACTCGACTGGGAAATGTGGGGTGCCAGGAACCCAGCTGCGTCCCACTTGCGACCCTGCCAGCTCCTGTCCAGCCACCCTCCCCTGTCGAGGCCCTGTCAGCGGTGCCGGTACTCACTGGAGTGGGTCGGGGCCCTGGGGGGACTCAGGAAGAAGGGGGCCTGTGTTGGGCTCTTCTCGATTGGATTGGTGTGTTGCGGCATCTCAGGCTCACACAGCTCGTCCGTGGCAGAGCTGAGATTTGAACCTCAGTCTTGATGACCTCAGAGCTCGGCCTGTACACCGGCCCCCGGGAGCGGTGACTCGAGCAGGGGCGGGGTGCGGAGTCCCCCGCAGGCCACCCCGGTGGTCGGGCGGTCCGTCCGTCGGGCGCCCGAGCTGGTGCCTGCACGCGAGCCGTGAAGCTCGGGGCGGGTGGGCCGAGCGCCCACAGCCAGGGTGGAGATCCTAGAAAGCGGGCCAGACGGTCCCCGTGGACCGTTTAACTCCCTGGCGTGAGGAAGAGAGATGGGGGCAGTGTCCTTCTGGTGGCCAGGGCGGGTGCGTCCTCTTCCGGTCCCAGAGTCACTGTTATCGACCCCACCCCCTTGTAGACGCTGCCCCCGCCCCGCGGTAGCCTGTCCGCCTTCCTGTGCTGGTCTTGGTGGAGCCGCGGGGGGCCTTGAGCAAATACCCTGACATCTGTGGCTCGGCGTTCCCACCTGCAAAGTGGGAGTTCCTGAGCAGTCCGCCCTAGGCCAGTGAGAGGGTGCTGGGCCGGGAGCCGGGCTGCGGCTGGGTGATGGCAGCTGGCAGGTGATGAACCCTTCTCCGCCTCGTGCCCCACCCCAGGTGTTCAGCGACATGACCGTGGGCGAAGGAGAGATGGTCTGTGTGGAGCTGGTGGCCAGTGACAAATCCAACACGTTCCAAGGGGTCATCTTTCAGGGTTCCATCCGCTACGAGGCGCTCAAGAAGGTGTACGACAACCGCGTGAGTGCAGGGCGGGTGCAGGGCCCAGGGGCGGGCGCTCCCCAGGCCCCCTTCTGCCCTCGCCCGGCTCGGAGCTGTACCTGCCCCTCCTCGGAGCGCCCGCAGCCCCCCGGAGCCCCTTTAGGCGGTTGTGTTGTGCTCTCTACAGCATGTCTCGGCCCACTCCGGCCCACTCCGGCCCCCGAGGGAAGGCGCTCATGGGATTGGCCCCTGCTAGACTGAACTGAGGGGAGAGGAGTCCAGGTGGGCGGGCCGCTCTCCCGCAGCTGAGCACTGTCCCGAGGACGTCCTCTCTCTGGAGCCTGGGAGGAAGGGACAGGGGAGGTGGTCTCAGGTCCCACTGGGCTGGGGCTCTCTTCCCGGCCTGTGCTGGCCCTGCGTGGGGCATGGTCATCGGGCTGAGAGGGGCATCAGCCAGGGATCCCTAGCACCCCGGCACCGCCCTGCCTTGTGGGTGAACCCAGGTCAGCCGGGCTCGGTCCCCCTGGAGGTGGGCTGCGCATGCCCCCAGGGAGCGGCACCCCTACCTGCCTGACTCAGGCCCACGCCCACCCGCCCGCAGGTGAGTGTGGCTGCCCGCATGGCACAGAAGATGTCCTTTGGTTTCTACAAGTACAACAACATGGAGTTTGTGCGCATGAAGGGGCCACAGGGCAAGGGCCACGCTGAGATGGCGGTCAGCCGTGTGTCCACTGGTGACACGTCCCCTTGCGGGACTGAAGAGGACTCCAGCCCGGCTTCGCCCATGCACGAGCGGGTAAGGGCTGTGCAGCTCGGGGAGGGGCCTCTCGTCCCTCAGATCTGCTTCCCACCGTCTCCCTGATCCTTACAGCCCCTGGTGAGGTAGGTGTCATCGTCCCCAGCCTTCTGGGGAGGAGGCCGAGGTTCAGAGAGGGCAAGTGACTTGCCCAGGGTCGCACAGCAGGTTAGCGCCTGGGCCCTGAGCTGCTGCTGCGGCAGGGCTCAGTCTCCAGGGTCCTGGCGCCTGCCTCAGTGGACCTGCTGGGCGAGTGTGGGCACGTGACCGGCCTGCCCGGAGGGTGAGCCAGGGGTGAGGAGGAGCCAGCCTCCCCTCCTGCCCCAGCAGCATCAGCTGGAGAGCGCAGAGGCCCTGGGGCCGCCCAGCTCTTCTCTCTGCCCGGGCCACTTGTTTACAAGGTGTTGTGCACCTGAACTGCTGGGAGGCCACCAGCAGCCCGTGGGTGGGCCTGAGCTTTCGTGTCTGCAGGCCTGGGGACCCAGGCTTGCCTGATTTACTTGCCCCGTCCCAGGTCACATGGCTCTCGTGTGACAGCACTGAGCCTTTGAGCCCTGCTCTTTCTAGGCCACTGTCCTTCCCCAGGGGTGGGAAGCTGAGGTCAGTGGCAGCTTTATTCGCAGAGCCTCCAGGGGGCCCCAGGGCTCAGTCAGGGGAAAGTCTCCAGCCCCCTGGCTGCTTTGCCCCAGTTGGGTCTTCAGAGGGGGCAGCTTGGAGCTGGGCGTCTTGGACGAAGACAGGGCACTGGGGGCACCTCCAGGAGAGGGGCTGCTGGGGGGCTGGAATCCAGGTGCTGCTGCTTGCGTGAACTGGGACAGGTCTCTTCTCCTGAGCCTCAGTTTGCTCATCCAGAAACGGGGTGAAAACACCTGCCTCCCGAGGTGCTGGGGGCTCAGAGGAGCCGCTGAACATCAGAAGGGGCCCTCAGGTCACAGCCACTGTGGGGACGGCGGCTGGTCTGCCTGGGAAAATGGCTCCTGAGCGTGTAAGTCACGCATCACTGCTGGCGCGCCCGAGACGGGGGAGCGCATACGTGAAACACTTTTAATTCTGTAAAATTACGTTCACCTTGCACATCTCCAGGTAGTCAGATGGCGGTTTTCCTTCTTTGTATGTCTTTTTTTTGCTTTGAAGTTTCTGCAATGAATGTGTTTTATAAGCAGAACAGAAACAGTAAATGCTCTTTTTTGTGATGACGGGTGAGAATTCCAGGCAGGGGCCTCTGTTGTCTTGGGAACGGAGGTGGTTTACAGTTGAGATAAGGAGGCTTATTCTTCTCCTTGGTCCTAAATTGCCCACTGAGGCCCTGACGAATGTGCATGTGAAACCCCTTGTGAAGACGTGGCCTGGGCTTGGGCTGGACAAACCTGGGTGCCCGTTCCAGCCACTTGTTTGCTGAGTGACCACAGATGGGTTACTAGACCTGCCCGGGCCTTGATTTTCCATCTGTCAAATGGGGGTGATGATCTTTCTTGCTCAGGGCAGCTGCGGGGGTGAAGGAGACGGTGCCTGGGAAAGTCCCTGGCCCATAGCAGCAGGGAGGCCTGGGGTCAAGGGGAGGGGCTTGCCAGGGTCACGCAGCTGTCAGTGGCAGGCCCCGACCTCCCAGGACTGCACGGGCCCTCTCCACCCCTGTGCTCACTGTCGCTTGTCCCCTGCCTTTTCCAGAGGGGTCGTTTGTAACCAGCGCATGACAAATGCAGACTCTGTGTGTATCGTGGTTTCTGGTGTTTGTTTTTTATCTTTTAAAAACCTTCCCTGGCTTGTGGGAGGACCGTCTGGAGCCCAGCGGCCGCCGGGACTCTGGTGGATGTCGGAGCCGTGACGAGGAGGCTGAGGGGGCTCCCGAAGTCTCAGTCCCAGCTCGTCTTGTTCCTCAGATTCTTGTTTGCATGGGGAGGAGGGAGGAGATGGGCCACGTTCCCTCTGCCTGGAACGCCCTTCCCCCCCTTCTTCACCTAGCGAACTCCTACTCGTCCTTCAAGACCCAGCTCAAGCGGCATCTCCTCCGGGAAGCCTTTCCTGATTTCCCAGGCTGTCGATTCCTTTTGCCTCTGTGCTCCCCTGTATCCTGTGCTTCTGTTTTTCTGTCTCAACAACCAACATTCGGTCTGTGGTCGTCACTTTTGGGTCTCTTGCCCCCAGCAGACTGTGAGCTCCTTGAGGGCAGGGACCACTGTCACGTGCCTGTCTGTCCTTAGTGCTGCCCTCAGTGGGTGTGGAGAATGGGTGGTGACTGGCAGTGTGGCTGGAAGAGAGGACAGGAGGAGATGGAGGCGTGGACCGCTTGGCCACTGCACGTCTATGAAAGGATGCTGGGAGAGAGGGGGGATGGGACATAGTAGCCAAAAGAAGAAATCAGGGTGAAGAGCATGGCCTCAGGGGCAGAAGACCTGGGTTGCAACCCGGCGTGGCCACCATCCTGCTGGGTGACCTCGGGCACGTCAGGGTCGCAGTCCCGCCCTGGTTTCTTCTTTGTCAGATGGGCTGATGCCGGTTCCCGCTGTGGGAGGTTGGGAAGGTTCGGTGCCGTGGCGGGTGCTGGAGCCGCGTCAGCGGCCAGGCTTGCTTTGGGCTCTGGCGACCCTCTGGCCGGCGTCCGAGGCCCGCAGGAGGGCAGCCCGGTCCGTCCTGGGGCAGCGCTGGCGGCCAGCTCCCGCCGGGCCCCGGCAGGGCGGGCGTCCTCGTCGTCCGAGGCGGGAGGCGGCGGGGCGGCGTCGTTCAGCACCCCGCCGACGCCCGAGCGCGCCCGCCGGCCCGCCTTCTTCTCTCCGTCCCTCAGGAGGAAGGCGCCCCGCGGCCGGACGGCGGAGATGAGGAAGTCTCACTCGGCCAACGACAGCGACGAGCTCTTCCGGGAGGAGGGCGGGGCAGGTGACGCGGCCCCGCCCCGAGCTGCGCCCTCCCCCCCCCCCCCCCCCCTGGGGGGGCG